TTTTCATAAAAATGAAGTTTTTGAAATCAAGTTTCATTCGTATTGTTGGGATATTGGGGGTATAGACTAGTGGGATCGAATAAGTATTTGCTTGGACGTATAAACTTCAAACTTTGAGCAAATCTTCCCATGTTTTGTAAAATGAAACTAAGTTGAGCTAAGCCAATTTTAACTAATTAAGTCGTATCTAGAAACAAGGTCTTGACTCTCTACTATAATAATTGAGGTAGCGGTGTTTATAGGTTGGTTTGGATCGATAATTGGACAAAATTAAAATTATATTTATTTAATTGAATTTTAAATTATTAAAATCAAATCAATCAAATTTAATAATACATTTATCGATTTTATTGTTATGATTTCAATTTGAATTCATTAGGTTAGTTGGTTATTAATCATATATGAAAATTAAAAAAAATGATTCATTCAAATAAGGAATAAAAGACAACACAATTCATTTAAGAAAATAAATTATATTTTTGTCAATTTGAGTCTAATAATTTTTAGGAACTTTCACATATAGCCACTCAAAATAGTCTAATTACTATCCATAACTATAGTTTGATAATTACAATTCGTAGCTACATGTCATAGGGAGGAGAGAGGCGAGCTAGACTGGGAGAGCGGACAAAGAGTGGGAGAAAGGTGAATTACATATGTATATCGGTTAGATAATTGTATATTATATATATATGTATTTGTATATATGGCAAGCGAGATTGGGAGAGGGAGGAGAGAGGCGAGCGAGATTGGGAGAGGGAGGAGAGAGGCGAGCGAGATTGGGAGAGGGAGGAGAGAGGCGAGCGAGATTGGGAGAGGGAGGAGAGAGGCGAGCGAGATCGGGAGAGGAAGGAGAGAGGCGAGCGAGAAATGGTAGAGAGTGGGAGAGAGGTGAATTGTATATGTATATCGGTTAGATAATTGTATATTATGTATATGTATTTGTATATTCTGGTGAATTATACATATACAAACGTTGCTAATTATACAAACTCGAAGTCATCCCACGTAATTAATGTATAATGTTAGTCGTTAGTAGTAATTATAGCAAACTATAGCTATGATGAGTAATTAAGTACTATAAATTTGCTTAATCGCGTAATTTTCCCTAATTTTTATACCAAAACTCTAATCATATTTAACTTGATTCATATGTCGAAAGAAATTAATTTATTTTTCAAAAAATATATTTTATACGAAATATGAAAAATATTCTCCTATCAGACACACCCTATAATCTATATAATATACTAATAAACATTAAAATAAATTGTCGGAAATTCCCAAGTCTTGTGTAGAAAAATAAAAAAAATCCAACAAACACGGCCTTAAAGTGAAATGACGTCACAAAAATATAAACGGTCAGATTCTTTCCGTCTACAATCTTCTACACGCTTCCTCACGATAAAGCAAATTAGTAAATGTCCATAGTCCGTACCAAACTTGACTAATCCTAGCCGTCCTTTTATTTGACGATCAAAAATCCAACGGTCAATATCTCACAATAACTAAAGCCCTCTTGTCTTCAAAACCTAACATTTATCATTTCTGAAATTCTACTCGTCTGCATATCCAGTTTTCTAGCGGCGATTTTCCGATCATCTCTCTGCTACTGTACAGTCTCTTTCCCTTGCTCCATGTGTATGTGTGTGTTTAATTTTTTGTGTATTTGTTCATGTATGTATGTTTTGTGTGAATCGGAGAAATGATTAGGTGTTTACTGTTTGGAAACGTTAGATGCGTGTTTTAGATGTGATTATGAGTTGATTGGTGGTTAATTTGGGGAGAAATTGGTTTGTGTGTTTAGATTTATAGGCATATATTTTTTTTTTCTGTATAATGTTTTTTTAGGGTTCGACACTGAAATGTGACTGTGTGTGAGTCGGAGAAATGATTAGGTGTCTACTGTTTGATAAATGTTTGAATTTGTGATATTTGACTATCAGGTGAGTGTTTTAGATGTGATTATGGGTTGATTGGTTGTTAATTTGAGCAGATATTGGTTTCCACTTGTTGTATGTTTGTGCCTCCTTGCTTGAGATTTTGGAGAGAAAGAGATGTATGATAGTGAAATATGAGCTTATTTTAGTTAGTAATTGGAAAAGACTGATTCTGCTGGAAAAATTTCTGATGAAGGAAGTTTTGGAGTGTCTTTTCATTTCGAGAAGTTGTAATGACTGTGGCTTGGGTGAGGAGAATATTCTTGCGAGAGTCAAATTGAATTGAGGCATTAAAACAAGTTCAAATGTTTGTTTATTAACTGTAATTTTCTTATATGCTCCTTCTAGACTCGATATTTAGCTTATTTTCATCCCTTTGTACACGGAGTAACGAATGTTTAGGTAGTAAGGGCTTGCATGTTGTCTTCCTTAGTTCTAAGCAATGAGAATATCACAATGACACATTCAAGATGGTATTCATTTCATGGTTGAGCAAAAGGTGTCCGGTGTGGCTGTTAAAAAAGCAATTTACAAATGGTTTATTCAATGTGTTGCTTGTTGAGTGCAATTTCTTTTAGTATTCTTAATAAAAAAGGTAATGTTGGATTGCTATGTTTTTGTTGGCTTCACATGTTATTTGTTTCCAAAGTTAAAGAAACCTATTTTAGGATGTAGGTGTGGCTCAGATAAACTACATGTAATGTAACATAACATGTATATTAATTGCCTCAATTGTAACTGGGAAAAAATAGTTGCCTTGTTTTTCACCTCCATTCCACAGGTTTCTTCCTTTTTTGCGTCTTATTTTTTTTAATTTGCTGTGCAGTATATTGATATTCAAATGAGTCGTCCACAGGAACCACACCGCCCTTTTCTCCCATTTGGAAATCCTTTCAAATTTATATTACCAAAGGGCTCATACTTGTCACCTAAGCTTCTTGCTCTGTTAAATGCCTTTGAGGAGTCATTAGCAGAGAGGGTTAAGAGTCTCAAGCCAGGAGGTAAGGAAGATATCCTCACGTTATCATGGATGACACAAGCAATAAGTACACTTTGTGCAATTCATACAGACGTGAAAACACTTATTACTGAACTTGAACTTCCCGTATGTGACTGGGATGAGAAGTGGATAGATGTGTACTTGGACAACAGTGTGAAGTTGCTGGACATTTGCATTGCTTTCAGCTCTGATATCTCAAGGCTTAACCAAGGCCACCTTTATCTTCAGTGTGGCTTGCATAACTTGGATGGAACCTCAAACCAGTTCATGAAGGCTCGTTCCTCATTTGACGGATGGAAGCAGCATATCAATTCAAAGAACCCAAGACTAGAGAATTGTTTTGCCATCTTGGACAGCCTCACGGAATCACTGAACCTACCTAAGATAAAGAATTCTGCAAAAGGTAAGGTTCTAATGCGGGCAATGTACGGAGTGAGAGTAGTAACTGTATTCATATTAAGCATGTTTGCTGTCACGTTTTCCGGTTCTACAAAGGAGTTGAAAGACCTGCAGATTCATGAGACTTGCTTGTGGACAGAAGCATTTGTTGATGTTCGCGATTTTATCAGTCAGGAAATCAGGAGAATATATTCAAGTGGAAGGATCACAGCACTGAAAGAGCTTGAAGTAGTGGATACAAGTGTGAAGAAGCTGTACCCCCTCATACAGGATGGAGTAGATCCTAATGAAGCTGAGCAGTTGCACCTCCTAACTTCAAACCTGACTGAAAAGGCGGAAAAACTTTCAGGAGGACTGGATCTGCTAGCAAAGGAAGCAGATAGATTCTTCCATATCCTTTTAACCGGACGCGATTCTCTGCTCTGTAACCTTAGAATTGATAGTACTGTTTCTAACCCAGCGGAAGTGAACAACAATGTAGAAAGGAAAGAGGTGAGGTGAACCTTAGATAGAGGAGGATGTGTCCTGTGTATACGGGGGGTTGGTGTGTGTTTCTGTTACAAGGTTGATATCCATGTTCTATTAAATACTGCAATATATAGTAATTGTGAAAAGGGTGGTTGTTTGTGGTGTGGTTTCAATCGGGTCGATATATGTTTGGATTGTCATGTTATGTTAATGAAGCATAAAGTGGTTTATCGAGCAGATACAACAGTTTTAAGGTTGAATTTTGTGTGAGTATATGCTTTATTCTCCTTTAGCTTTATTTATGAGATTACAATGAATATATGTCCTTGATATGAATATTGAGGATTCAAAGATATAACTAGCCCTAGTGGAGTTGGGATTGAGGCATAATTCAACAGTAAAAACCTACAAAAAGAATTCAAAATTTGCATAATTATATATCCCAACACAAATTATTGCACTACAACATATATATTTAGTTTACACTTCCATAGCTGATTTTTTTTCCCCAATAGTATTCATAGTTTCATACATACAATATTACACTTGCCATAAATAATATATCTATCTTATATTAAAAAAAATGTGTAAGAAGTGTTTATACATAGTTATAGGGCATATTTAGTTGGGGAACAAGTTATCTTAGGATTATTATTCAATCCTCAATGTGGAATAAAAACAATGGTACAATTTCAGGATTTTATCCCCAACCAAACATGGGATAAATTAATTCTTTAAGTAATTTCCGAGATTAGTTATTCCTTATCTTTCGTATCAAACGAACATTTACATTATTATATAAAATTGTACAAAGAATGAACTTCTCTTCTGTAAAAGTTGAACTCACAAAACTCCACTCTAAAATAGGTCAAAAACATCCCAAGTAGCTTCAAAATTTAACAACTTCAAGATAATAATCCCAACAAACTTCAATCATCAACTTATCAAAAACGTTAACAATCACAAAACTCATTTGTACAATCAATAATGTTTAAATCCGTGATAATCAATACAAGTATCAATCAATCAATTTCTAAGTATCTAAAAATGAAAAACAAAATCTCAAACCACAATTTCAACAGTTGATTTTTTCACATTGTCAATTCCAAATAGTTTTTCCAGTTTCCTTAACTTTTGATCAACCCACTCTCTTCATAAATCAATTATGACAATGGAGTTTGAGGCACATATCATATAACAATGGCAGATGTATTGGAAATTACTCTAAAAATCGAAGAAATAAAGGAGGTTGTCCGACTTGGAACATAGGGATATTCAATCCCCAGTATCTCTTCTTCACTGTAGGTTAGGGATGAAATCCTTCTTTTTTGCAAAATACATACAAAATGGACTATTTCGGATAAGATTGAAAATATGGACACATTTTGGTTATAAGGTTGGGCCGCTATAGAGCGAAAAAGTTCCAAGAAAAATTCGCAAATTCAAGTACTACATAGCTCAATAGTAGAATCTTATGACAAAGTTATGAACTTCAAGCGAAACTTCCAATGGAACCAGCACAAAATCCTCAAACTCCACCTCCATGACCCTGCACAAAATTAGCGATACACAACTTAAGGAAAACATGCAAGAAAATAAATGGACAAGCATGACGAATTCAGTACAAACTGCTTTAAAAGCAGTACTTAGACGAGAACGAGAATATTATACTCCCATATTTACAACACTGACTGTTCGGGGTTACATTTTATTGTGGTACCATATTCAAAGTAAAAAAATGAAAAAAGAGAAGGTATCACTATGTTTTAGCCATTTAAATTGTCGAGGTCTTATGTCCCTTTTATAGCGGTTAGCAAAACACTTCACACTCCAAAATGTCCCACATGGTCTATTGGCATTTTGGCAAAGGTATTGTTATCGGGAAAAGTCAAGGCCAAGCTTTCAAGCATACAATACAAGCAATTGAGCAAATAATACACAAATATGACCATAATACCTCTAAAAATGAACTTAATTACTCCAATCAATCAGTTAACTGGAAGCTTGCTCTCTTTCTGGCTTCTATATAGTAGTAATTATCCCTTACCATGTACTTCAGACAAACATAAAGCAAAGAATTGACTCTGCAGTGATTCAAAAAAGAAAAAAAAAATGAACACGAGCAGGAGATAGTATTTACATTGTAATGGTGCCACGGTTAGTGTTTGGTCACCTGAACCCATTTTTCCAACTCTACATAGCCTTATAGCCAAAGGAGTACAGGTTTTCTTTCTGTCCACTCCCAGGAACATTAAAAGACTTCATGAACTTCCTCCTAACTTCGCACCACTAGTAAATCTAGTGGAGTTGCCTCCTTTTCGTACGAAATTTCCGAATTTAGCACTCTTATTACATTCAGTTTGAGATGAAAGGACATCAGATAGTCTCATTCAAACAAAGAAAGATAGGTAATGGACTCTATCCAAGACTGAGACAACATAGGCGAAAGGGGCTTAGGGGACAGCTAGACGATTAAAGATCAAGCAAGCGGATGCAATCAAAGAGCATCACCACTTTCTCCGTCTTAGTCGAAAATGGAACACCCTATAATAATCCTTTTTCATGTGGAACATTATATACATAAATATACTAACACTGCCCTCAAGCTGGTGCATAACAGCCCGTTAGGATTGGCTAAAAAAAAGTAGTTTTTAAGTCAAAAAATAAAAAGTCAACCTTAAATGACTTTTAAGTCGAAAAATAAAAAGTAGGGGGAGTCCTACTTTTGGTTTTTAACTTTTTTTAATTCATTTTTGACTTATTTTAAGTTATTTTTAACTTTTCCAAACACTCCCAAACAGGGGCGAACCCGTTCGTCGAAAAATTATAATATATATAAGGCCAAATTCTGATTTTATGAGTATATACATTAAAATGAACTCCCCCCCCCCCCCCCCCCCCAAAAAAAAATAAGTGAGAAGCTTAGCCCAGTGGATAAGGGGTTCAAGAATTGCCTTTACGTTGTGGGTTCGAATCCCATGCGTAACAAGTCCTTTTTTTACCCTTTTAATGCTATGGAATTGGGCTCAACTTTTGGGCTTGGATCTTCTTCTCTTTTTTCATTATTTTTTCTCTTTTATGCCTTTTTTTTTCTAATTTGTTTTTGTTTAAATTTATTAGACACATTTTTTAAATTTTTTTTTTATTCTTCTTATATCTATTATTCATTTTATTTCAACGTAATTTTATGTACTAATATATATATCTTTATTAGACGTGTCAAAATTGAGCCCAATTATAGGTATCCCGCCCAACCCGTCCATAATTTTAAGGGTTGGCTTCAAGATAATTTGACTTGGGTTCAATCTCAACCCGTTCAAGTCCTAATCCATTTTAAGAGAATCCTCAATTGAGCCCAATTAATCTCCAATTTCAACCCGTTTTAAGGCTCTTTATTTGCATTGATGTGATATATGTTTCTATATTAAAGGTATGAATTACTATGTATTTTATAACTTTTAGGATTTATCTACCCATTTGTAACTTTTTTTTAAAAAAAATTCTTTAGTTGAAATTCAAATTGTGGTTATAAAACATAAATGACAATATATTAAAATTATTGAGATTAAGCGGGTCATGACCCAACCCGTTTCTAAGCCCATGTGAACCCAACCCATTTGACCCCAAAGTAAACTTGGGCGGGTCAAGACCCAGCCCAATTTATATTTCAACCCATTTTAATATCTCCAATTTCAACCCGTTTTAAGGCTCTTTATTTTGCATTGATGTGATATATGTTTCTATATTAAAGGTATGAATTACTATGTATTTTATAACTTTTAGGATTTATCTACCCATTTGTTAACTTTTTTAAAAAAAATTCTTTAGTTGAAATTCAAATTGTGGTTATAAAACATAAATGACAATATATTAAAATTATTGAGATTAAGCGGGTCATGACCCAACCCGTTTCTAAGCCCATTTGAACCCAACCCATTTGAGCCCAAAGTAAACTTGGGCGGGTCAAGACCCAGCCCAATTTATATTTCAACCCATTTTAATATCTCCAATTTCAACCCAACCTGCTCATTTGACACCCCTAAATTATATATATATATATATATATATATTAAAAAAGATAAATTAGATGTAATTGAATGAAGAACTAAAAAATCATCAATATCCTTTTAATAATATCAATTTAATAGAATTCGTGGAATTTTACAAATGATAACTAACCTAGTAAATTGAACTACATGACCATTTATATATCTTCTGAATATGCATTATAATACTAGTAACTCTATACTTATACACTTTTAGAGAATCTTGACGATTTCCTAGTAACATGTGTTTGAATGGATACCAATTAAAAAAAAATTAAAAAGTGCAAAATAAAGTAAAACATTACAAAATAAAAGTATAAAAAGCACAAGAAATTTTAAGAATATTCAATGGAGCAGGGTAAAAGTAGGAAGAAATGCTTAATGCGGTATGATAAGGTAAGTTAAAATTTAGCGAGTTAAGGTAAATATTTTTCTTCCCCGTCTCACTTCCTTTTTCATCCTTTAATTTTCACGTGTTTTAGGAATTAACTTATGTAATACAACTGATCCACTAATTTTTTTTATCAACGTTGCTTTGTTCTCAGTATCTTTGATTAGTTTGGTGTTTACTTTTATCAACCAATGAAATACCTATGGTTACTTGTACAAAGAGCATGCCGGGGTTACTATGCTCACCGCGTACTTACATTACAACCTGAGCTTCTACTTTTAACTTGAACCCCCTAAGCAAAATTCTTGGGTTTCGCCACTGCTCCCAAAAGCTAAAAATGACTTACAAGTAAGTTTGACCAACTTTTAAGCCAATCCAAACATGCTCTAAGTCATATGTACCAAGCTCGTTACAAACGTAACTTATACGAGGACAGGTGAGGAACTTAGTGAAAATACTTACAAGTTGATCTTTTGACTTCACAAATTTAGTAACAATATCTTCTGAAAGTATCTTTTCCCTAATAAAATGACATTCAATCTCAATGTGTTTAGTCCTCTCATGAAACACCAGATTTGATGCAATATGGAGAACCACTTGATTATCACACAAGTTCCATCATAATGATTTCTCCAAAATATAATTTTTTGACTCATCGCTTGATCCAAACTAGTTCACAAGTTAATATAGCCATTGCTCGAGATTCTATTTTTGTACTTAGATTGAGAAACCACATTTTGTTTCTTACTCTTTCAGGACACTAAATTACCTCTTATCATAACACAATATTTAAGTGTGGAACACCTATCAGAAGGTGATCTTGCCCAATTAGTTTATGTGTATCCAACAATCTGCTCATGGCCTTGATCCTCAAAAACCAATCCTTTGCTCAAGGCTGATTTTATGTATCGATGAATACCAACAATTGCATCCCAGTGACTATCACATGGGGAGTCCATAAGCTGACTAACAACAGTTGGAAGAAAGGCAATGTCAAGTCGAGTTACTATGAGAGAGTTCAACTTACCAACCAGCCGCCAATATCTTCTGGGATGACAAAGAGGCACTCCCTAACATGGTAGAAGTTTGATATTCGGATCCATATATAGGATATATCGTTGATCGCTCTACAGCCTGTCGTACCTGTCTCCTCAAGAATGTCCAGGGCATTACATTGTGCGATGACAATTCCTGATTTGACTGTGTGACCTCAATACCTCGAAAATACTTCAATTTGCCTAAGTTTGTTGTTTGGAAATGCTAAAACATATGTTGCTTCAGTTTAATTATACAATCCTCCTCATTGCCCATGACGACTATATCATCAACATAAATGACTAAATAAATGAACAGATTATGAACAATATGTTGATAGAATAACGTAAAATGCTCTCAAGAAAACCCTAAACTCTAGCAGCCAAAACTGACACTCAACTACGTTTCACGCCTCTGATGGCCACCCTGGTCAACGGCACAATATATTATAATCTTTTCTATATGGGACACTTTAATAATCTTTTTCGATATGGGATACTATATACATTAATATTTTAAACTATTGATCAAATTCTACTTGAGGCAAGCTTATGATGTCCATGAGCCCGCCAAACTCTTCATTTGCCGATAAAAAAAACATGAGATCACTCTAGAACTTGACATTCCCCTCGCTAAAACTCAGTGTCTCCACTGTTTCTTTACGGGTCTTCTTCAATCCCCCGAAACTCAAATCTAGGCCCGATCAGGCTAAAAAGGTATCAAATCCATTGCATGAACTTTTCACCACCACCATGTGTGGATTTTCCATCTATGGTTGCTTGTGGGCAACATGAAGAGAACTTATTGTTGCAGTGCACGGGAGGTAGCCTATAGTGTTTAAGATGCTTTATCAAAATATTACATGAAAACTGTCTAGCTACACAAGCTTGCAAAATAAAGTAAATGACCATCTAAACAAGTTCTTTGATGCAATACAAAAAACGAACTTAGAAACTTTTCTAGGTAGAGATATTCACAAGCTAAAGTTTCACTCTTTACTTAAAACTGTACAACAATGTGTTGAGCAGATGAAAAAGACAAATCAAGGAAATCTAACCTCAAGACTAAGACATCTTCGTTCCAATTCACTGACTCCAAGGATCAGCCAGTGTGCCCCCATGCTGCTTGACTATTCGAACTGCTTGCAGAAGAATATCCTGTTGTGCTGAAAATAGTTTGTCCTTGCTCTAAAATACAAAAAAGACGGCAATTAGCTGAATGAAGAGAAACCCATTAACAAGATCATTGAACAGTTGACTGAAGAGTAACATTGGAAGCAAAAACTGATCACTGATATAATTGCACATGGAAATTGTCAGATACACAGTGAACACAACTACTTACAGACTCAACGCTAAAGATCGCGTCAGCATTTGTTCCAAATATCTTGTTGTGTATCAACCATAAGGCAGACCTCAAGATAAAAGGACTGGCTTTTTTTTGTATTATGTGATCAACTTTTGAGGTGCCAATTATAAGGCCAAAATTTGGAAAAATAATAAAATGCAGAGGCTGTGTAACCTAGATAGGTTCTTCTAGATAATTAAATCTACTATAATCATTTTTTCCTAAGAAGTTCAAAAAAGAATTCTAAAACATATTACCTCCAGTTATTCTATATGCTGGAAGCCATTTCCAAGTTCAAAATAAGAAAAAGTCTACATCATTGTTCTTTTCTCAAGGATCCGATGATGTCTAAAGGGAAACTACATCTTGTAAGAATTTTTCTTTACACCAAAAATGAAAAGTAAAAGATCAAATTTTCTGGATAGAACTACTTCTTTCAAAACATCTCAAGTTTCTTTTTCCCTTCCTTATCGTCCACCAGAAAAAAAATTCCACCATTTCTTCTGCCTTCCATCCCATGTTGTTCCAGCATTTTAAAGTGTTCTCCAGTAGCCTTTGGCATGAACATAAATTCCAATACTTTCTGAATCCGTCCATATAGATAACATCTTGAGCACAACTACATTCCCTTCTCCTCAGGTTATCATGTGTCAAGCATGCTTTCTTAACAACTATCCATGTAAAGGAAGCCACCGTGTATGGTATTTTTACTTTACAAATATGTTTCCAAGGCCAAATATTTGTATGTTGTCTGGTGCCATTTAAAGCAACGTAGGTTAATTTAATTGTGTAAATTCTTCTTGTGTGCTGCTTCCAAAAAAAATTTATCTTCATTTGCTGTGGTTCCTTGAAATTGCTCCAGGACCTTGAAACGTTCAGCTGTCCTATTGACCTCCCAATCATTTAATAATCTTCTAAGATTGACATTCCACCCCTGTGGTTCCCAAACTACTTGAATTGTTGCATCAGGTGTCTGAGTCAGACTAAATATGTCAGGGAAGAGTTTTTTTAAAGCTTGGGAACCAATCCAGTTATCCTTCCAGAAGAATATTTTCTGCCCATTTCCAACTTTGTAGCTGAAATTGTCAAGCAAGGGCCACAGTTTCCTGATGGATTTCCAGACACTAACTTAAAAAGGAGAGGTAACTAAGTAACCATTTTAGAACACCATTGTCCGTCATTCCCATATTTAACATAAATCATCCATCTCCACAAAGTTTGCTCCTCAAAATTGTGTCTCCACAGCAATTTCATAAGCAAACTTGTATTGTGCTGTCTCAAGTTTCTTATGCCTAATCCCGCTTCCCAGACTGGTAGTAACAACTCCATTGTTCCAGCTTGCATATGGTGGACAATTTGGAAAGAGATGAATGCAAGATGCTTTGAAGGCAGGTGCAGTTCAATCCAGAAGATCAAGAGCTCCTGCATTTCTCTTCTCTATTTTTGGTGGAAAAGTTAGTTGATGATGTTGAATCATTGCTAGACTTTATGGCCTCTTTGTAAGTTCTGTTTGAGGCTGTCTCTGTAGATATGATATACCAGGCCTTTTTTTAGGGTGCTGATGAATATAACATGTTACCAATTTCAAAAAAAAGAAGTAACTTCTCCTTCCCTTGCCAGATAATTTCTTCTCAATGCATCCAATCTCTTTTCCACTTTTTTTTAACACCCAATCTCTTTTCCACTTTAACAAGGAAAAAGGAGACAACATGTAAGTGGGCAAATAATAAATACCTCCAATTATTCATTTTAAACTTATCAACAATTGTCTCTATTTCTGCCTACATTTTTTAACTTGTTTTTCCATTATAGTTCCTTTTATTTTGTTATTTTCATTTATTTTTTTCTTGAGAAGGGGGGCTAGGGTGGGTTCTATATAGGTTTTGGCAGAAACCACCATAGCTGAACTTGCACCAATCAAATTCTGAAGAACACTTGCTATCAGAAGATCAAGGATCTATCCACCTAAACAGATATTATCAAGTTCTGATTGTTGTTCGAGTATTACATGCTATAATGAAAATTATCTCGTCATTCAGCATTAAACACATGATAAATTGATTTATATTGTGCTAGTTGTTACAATAGACATAAAGCTCAAGCAACATATATCAAATGAATTTCACAATGATAGTAGGAAAGACTGAAAAAGAGAAGGCATACCGCATATCTTAAGTTGCACCCGAGAGTTAACTCTGCAAATGTTTTTTCAATTTTAGACAAGTAGCAGTATGGTGCTTCCTTTTCCAAGAAAACATTTGGATTAGATTTGAGCATGCTCTTTACATCATCTGATATCTGGACAATCATATCAAAGTCTTCAATTTGGAAAGGAACTGTAGTGACCATGGCACGCCATTGAGCACGTGATTTATTCACAATCACCTGAAGTTTGCGCAACCATTCTGTCAAATTCACCTCCTCTTTCTTGTTTCTTTTTATTTACTACTATTTTTTAGGGTCCAGAGTGGGAAGAGAGGGAGGAAACTTCAAAAAAGTAAGAAATATCAGAGCATAAAAGACTAGAGCTATTAGAGACCTATAGATTAAGAATCTATAATATGATTATTTTTCACTTCCACAAAAAATAGAGAGATGAATCAAACTTTCAGTGCCTTCACAAAAAACTTATAAAATGCTCTCTCTAAGTGATCCACTGTAGTGTCCATCCTCAGAAAAGAAGTACGCACATAGATAAGATTTTGAAAAGAAGTACTCACACAATGAAAGTTGATTACATGTAAATTGAAATCTAAACACATGGCTAAGATTATTATTTTTTATGACAAGGGAAACCCGCAGCGGCTACCCTTTGGGTGCGCACAGGGTAAAACCCCCGCTCCTATGCAATCGCTTGCAAACCACATACGAGAGGTAACCCGCACTAGGCAAGTCCAGTGCGACAAGCTCGACCCAGAAGGCAAACCCCTTGCTTTCGTTGGCAAGGGGTTTCGAACTTGAGACCTCCAACATGGAAGTCCCAAGCCCAAACCACTGGAATGATGGAATATAATGATCGAGTACTAACAAGAGAAACATGTAGATGCTTAACAACTGCACCTGATTCATCAGTTGAGGGGGCATGGAATTCACAAGGATGGAACCTCTCTTTCAGAAGGTAATTTAATGACTGGGAGATTGGTAGTGTGGCTGAAATGTTGAAGGTACTGAAGTTCTTTCACAGTACTAGGAATGTTGAGAATGATGGTTAGACCAACTATGTTGTATGGAATGGAGTGTTGGCCAGTCAAGAACACTCACGTTCTGAAAATAAAAGTTGTGAAAATGAGGATGTTGCGGTGGATGTACGGGTACTAGGACAGATAGGATTAGGAACGAAGATATATGAAACAAGGTGGGAGTGGCCTCGGTGGAAGACAAGATGCGGAAAGCGAGGTTGAGATGGTTCGGGCATGTGAAGAGGAGATGCATGGATTCCCCAGTGTGGAGGTGTGAGAAGTTGGCTATGGATGGTTTCAGGAAAGGTGGATGTTGGACGAAGAAGTATTGGGGAGAGGTAATTAGACAGGACATGACGCAATTGCAGCTTACTGAGGACATGACCCTAAATAGGCGGTCATGTAGATTAGGGTAGAAGGTTCTTAGGTAGTAGAGTGTTGTCTTGCTTATACTTCCATACTGGTAGTCGTAGTATTTCTCCTGTACTTTCTTGCCCTTCGATTTCTGTTACTATCCATTGTCTCTTTGTACTTCGATTAGCACGTTATTCCATTGTATTTATTGTTACTTTTTTCCAAAATGCTTTCTTAGTATTGCCATGATTTCTTCAATTCAGTTATTTCTTTTTTGATATGTGGTTCCTTGAATGTCTACCGGAAACAGCATCTCTAACCCCCAAGGTAGGGGGATAAGGTCTTCATACAGTCTACCCTCCCAAACCCCACTTGTGGGATTACATTGGGTATGTTGTTGTAGTTGATTAGATGTTGTACTAGGAATGTTGAGGATTTAGTTATATGTAACAGTGGAAGCAATAAGAGGTTCTCAGTCTGCTCTGCGTCTGTATGCTTACAGAAGGTGCTCACACTTCAGACTGGCCATGGAAATTTATCTGGAAACTAAAAGCCCTCTTTCAAGGTCATATGTTTTTCTTCATTAGTTGTCAGGAAAGCTTGTCTGACTCATGAAGTTTTACGGAGAAGGGGGATCCAACTGACTTCCAGATGTTTTTTGTGCCAGGAGATGGAAGAAAACAAGAGCCATCTCTCCTTGCACTGCAATAAGACTAACTGATATATGTTACCATTATCAAAAAAAAAATTAACTGATATACTATGGTAGTTGTTCCTTGACTTAACACAGATTCAGTGGGTCATTCCAAAGAATACCAAGGACCTTCTATGGTGCTGGAACAATATGAAAACAAGGAACAGAAAGATGTTGTGGAGGAGAATGGCCCAAGCATGTATTTGGTGGACAGCGTGAGGAGAGAACCAGTAGACGTTTTGAGGGTAGAAGTGGTTCCAAACGAAGAATTAAGCTGAACTGTTTCTTGTCTTTTCAATTCTGATATAAAGAGAACTATATAGATGATGAAGAATAACTCGTGAATCTTTGATTCCTAATAAGATACAATGCTCCGGTAATCGGTTAGTATTTGATTACCAATACCGATTTGGTGCTGACGAATACAATGTTACCTTTTCAAAAAAAAAAAAGGAACATGATGTAGATGTCACAAATTACTTGGCTAAATACCTAGATAGTCCCTTAAACATGGCATAATTTGTTAGATAGACATCTCAAATCGACAACAATGTGTGTCTTTAACACGGGGGTCAGCAAAACATAGTGCATGAAAATTACGTGCTGATGAAAATTAAACTTTAGCCTCTAGTTGTGCTTCTTTTTTCATTTAAAAATAGCATGATATATGAGTTGCTTGATGCATTTTAAAACTATCTAATGTGTTTGGGCATGTCTGAGCTAGATTGCTATTTTAAAGTATCTGACATTGGCCACAAAAGGTCTTAGCTATGTATATTTATATTGTTTTGTGATATTTCACCAGTTATTAAATTCCGCATGTCTATTTAGCAGTTGATGATAGTAGAGCATGTTTGTGATCTGTTAATGATACTAAGCATGCCTATTCAGTGGTATTTGATATTTGGTATTTCTGATTTAGTAGTTGTAATACTTGTTTGTGATTTGCCCTATATTACTTGGGGTTAGACGTTGGGATAATTATCTTGCACTGCTTCTTTTAGCTAGGCGTGTTATGCCACTAAGCAGATAGCAACTCGACAATACTGAACACTTACCGGGTAAGACGAGTAGTCGATGCACCACATCAGGTGGGTTAGACAGGCAGCAAACACACCGAAGACAGGTAAGACATATGGGCTAACGAATCCAATGCTTCATAGAGAAGCAACAGCTAGATGTTTATTTGTTTGGTACAATTTCAACAGCTTGACCATACCTATGCATCTTATTCTATACTGTGATTTAGTTGCTTACTTGTATAATCTGTTATTTTGTTGAAGCTGTATATGCTATTATGTACTGCAGTTTCTAAGCTTGTCCCAGGGGTAAGACTGGAGTGGGTCAAGGATCTTACTATGTCCTTTTTTTGTTTTTTTTCTACAAGAACTAACCTGACCTTAGGCGAGCACCCCTCCAAAGTGCAATGGAGGTCACTAACCTAGGCCATGGGCCTTCATGAACGCCCATTGACCCTGTCCAGGTAAGTATCTTACTAGGTCATTTTGACTCACCATTTAGTGCTCTGTGCAGATACTATTGAGGGTATATAGTTGTTGACTGCTAAGTTGCTTGTCCTGTTCAGGTGACCCATCCACCCGTCTGAAGCAATGCGTCGTCAGCTCCTATCTATTTACTGTCTTTCTTTTATGTCATATCGAGTTGCATCTCTTATTGTTGTATCTCATAACCTTAGTGACTCCATGACTTCAGAGATATTTGGGAATCATTGGTTTTAGTTGATTTAGTACCTTTTCAGATATTTTATTACGAGAACGCTTTTACATCCAGTATTCAGCATGCTTCCGTGTATTCTAGCAATTCATAGCATAGCCTGATACGCCTGGTGTGGGTAGTAGCTCATTGGATACCAGTCACAGCTTAAATGCTAGATTTGGGTCGTGACAGGAATTCAACAAGGAAGTCCGAGGCCAATTAACCTCCTGAAGAACTCTTGGCTAGATCATTTTCCTTAAGGGGCTAACTAGAAGGGCATTTTTGTAATTTTGTCTCCGGGCTGTCATAACTATAAGTACTCATTTTCTTTGTGTTATTTCTTTTAGAATGAATTTGAATGAAGAAAACCTTCTGGGAGCTTAGAATATCTCAGTTCCTAGCAACTTTAGTCACTTTAGTTAAGCTAAGATGTTTGAAGAATTATTCCTCTTCTACTAGCTTAGTATTTAGTTTTCTTTCTTTAGGTATTTTAATGTTAGAATTCCAATATTCAAGTTGTGCTTTGGTTCTCCTCTTTTTATCTCTTAGCTTCTGAATCTGCTTCAGCTCATGTGAGCCACCTCGGTCAAGAAGAGGTGTCTGTCTGGTAACTAACTAGCTAGGTTAGAGTGACTAGCTCCAGTAACTAACTAATAGTCTTCTAGGTTAGAGTGACTAGCTCCAGTAACTAACTAATAGTCTTCTAGTTTAGAGTGACTAGCTCCGGTAACCAACCAAGAGTTTTGTTTGGCCAAGTTACTAAAATCAGCTTATTTTGGAAAGTGCTTTTCAAAATAAGTACTTTTGGTTAGAAGTAGTTTGTGTAATAAATTTAAAAGCACTTTTGAGCAGCAACAACTGTTTGGCCAAACTTTTTAAAAGTGCTTTTAGTAAGTGTATTTTTTTCAGAAGTGTTTTTCAAAAAAAAGTGCTTTTAGGGAAAACTACTTTTTTTATCTTATGAAAAATGGTTTCTGCTACTCCCCAGAAGCACTAATTTCCTCCCAAAAGCTTTAACCAAACACCTCGCTTTCTTAAAATAAGCATTTTTGGCCTCCTAAAAGCTTAGCCAAACAGGATATAACTAGTAGCACGTTTGGACAAGCTTCAAAAACCAACTTATTTTGAAATGTACTTTCCAAAAAATACTTTTGGCGAGAAACAGTTTGTATGTGGCCAACAAATTTAAAAAGCACTTTTGAACAGCAATTAGTGTTTGGTCAAGCTTATTAAAAGAGCTTTTAAGTGTATTTTTCTCGGAATTGCTTATAGAGGAAGCTACTTTTTTAGCTTCTGATAAACAACTTCTGCTACTCCCCAAAAGCACTTATTTTCACCTAGAAGTTTGGCCAAACACCCCACTTTTTTAAAAATAAGCACTTTCAGCCTCCTAAAAACTTGGCCAAACATGCTATTAAGTTAGAGTACCTAGCTAACAAATTGTGCCAAGTTTGAGGTGCTATCTACGTATTTAGCCAAATTATCTTCTAGAAACCAAAAGCAGAACTTGAACTTGACCAGTTGAAACACGAGTTCCATGTAACCTTCTTTTATTATAATAAAATCACAAGTGATGGGTCAAACATAAAGAAATAGGAAGGAGAAAATCATTTGGGACGAAAGAGGAATAGAAAAAATAATTCCAAAGCAGTCTCTCAAAATAATCACGTGGAAGTGTTGGCCATAAAAGGGTAAAACCGAGGAAAAGTAAGCAGATATTATTAGTAGCTAGTTTTTTTGTTGCTGCTAATGTTAAAGAGAATATTCTTAGCTGCTAGTTGTAAGTTCACTTTAGTAAAACTAGAGAAAACACCTTTTAAGGGAACTAAAGATATAATCGTGCACAGATATCTGGACAGTTCTGCACCTTAGGGAACAAAGAAGGCACAGCTTTAAGTCATCTTAACCTTCTATATGCAGTAGGTTAGTAGCTAGTGCTTAGGTGTAGAAACTCACGACCATGCAAGTTAATACTGGGTAGAGATCTAAGGTAAAAAGTCTCCCAAAAGTGATAACTTCCCCCAAAGAATGACGAAGAGTAGCTGGAACTCATCAGCTCCTTAGCTTTATAAGTTTATTGTATTTACTGAGCTGACAATTCCCCTCCTTTTGTAACTTTGCATCTACTGGATGCCTTAATGATATCTCAGTTGTTTCATCAAAAAAGGAATAGTTAAGAAAACTCACCTGACTGGAAAATAGTGAATTTGGGACAATAACAGGGAATTTTTCTGCAGTCAACAATGATGTAGTAGTTAGCCCCATTTCAACCACTTGACCTTCCACTGATCCAGCCTGCAAAAGTAGTTTCTGTTAAACAACTCATAGAATAAATTAAATGTCATGTCATCAGAAAAACAGGATTCGAGTTCCGATAGGTAGGAACACAATTATAATTTGTTGTTGATGCAAATATTCTTGTTATTCTTAATTAGATATCATTTTATTGTTAAACCAGATTTCAAGTCATAATTAAATATCATTTTATTTTCCATCAACCCCACTAAGGCACGTATACAGCAGAACTGAACTTTTGAAATAATTGTCCATTCAAGTTCAGATAGCAAGCAGGATTTAGTTCGAAGCCTAGGGCATAAATGTACTACTTCCTTGCCTGCCTCACCCACTCCAATGTAATGCCTTGTGTTACAGTCCATCCATGTGAATGTCCATCTGTGTCCTTGCATCTTAGTCCATCCGTGTGAATGTTGCTACACAAAAGTATTTACACTAAAGCCAATATAACTTGCAGTACTACCTATACTCTAGAATATATCACTCACTAAAACAATAATTCCACCAGCTAGGGATGGACACTGAAATTCCGGTTTTCCACCCAACTTGTCAGGACCATGCTCAGCAGCAGTCGCAAGTCTTCATATATTTAACACTCCATTCCATATCTTCTTCAGTCCTTTCCCTTTAACTACGTCATTATTACAATATCATGCTAATAGATGTAGCTCTAAGACTTGAATAAATAGTTTATATGCCTGGTCAAATGTGCTAAGTTAAATCTCTTTTTTTTCGAGAAAGTAGAATGTGCAAAGTTAGTCTTCAAATAGTATTTTCATTATCCACCATTCTGTCTTACTCTAAACAATCCAAAAGTTTTTTTAATAACTTTTAATATACTAAATAAAGGCCAGTCATGTATTTCTAATTTTTGCATAAATCGTGCTTAATCCTTAGATACTCACAATAGCAACAAAAGGAGAAAGAAATTTCATTAACAATAAGAAGACTTTAGACATACTTTTATCGTGTCACCAACTGAAAAAGGTCGTGAAAGCTGTACGGAGAGCCCACTAAGAACATTGCCAAGGATGTCTCTAGCAGCAAAAGCAGTAGCCACTCCTGCAGTATTTATAAAAAAGGCAAAAGTGAAGAGTGAATTGGAACACAAACGAGGGATAATTAAAATAACTTTTATAATTTTTCAATTAATCATTGTCCACATTGCATCTTCATATACACCTATATACCAGCACAAACTAATATGCTCTCTATCAGTATCATTGTTGAAGTGATTGCTATTTGCTACTATTAAAGTTTTTTCTTTCTTTTTTGGATAAGTAGAAAACTGGGTAAGATCAACCAAAGTGGGTAACCATAACTGGATGGGTCTGGTAAATATCTATGACTCCTCATGGCCCTACAGAACCCACCATTTTCCTGAACAAAATTATTTCAAAATTTATGCACATATTCACATGCCCGCCAATAAGCAAATCTGTCCACTGTTGTATATCACATTGTGTGGTCCCATTCCTACTCTGGGAAGTCAAGATTCTCCAAGTTGATACGTCATCAGTAGAATGTAAAAACAACATGTTTAACATGTGTTCTTATGTAGAATGGTGGGGAAACTTTTCTCCACACAATGCTAGAAGGTACGTCAAAATATAACTCACAGCAGTTCCACACACACACAGGAAAAAAGTAAATTAATAAAATCGACAATAACGACTACAACCGGAGACACCAAAGGAAAAATGCTAGATGATAAAACTTCAAGCACTAAAAAGGATAACAAAGTTAAAGAACTTTGGACTACTGTGAATAAAATGAGCAAAGAAGAAAATGAGGACAAGGAGCGGTTAGGCCTTCAAGAATTACACTAGCTTTTGGTCTTGAAAACTGTGAGTATTTGAAAAAGTAGTTTTTGTTTACAAAGTCAAAAATGATATTTGAAATTGTGGAGTTGTGTTTTGCCATGAATACAAGTAGGAGTTGTTTTTGAATTTTTGTGAATAATTTGGAGTAAAAAAATGAACAGCTTTTTGGTGTTCTCCAAAAGAAAAATTATCATAAATAATCACTAACAAGAATTTGGTTCTTTTTACGAACTTGATATCGATAAATCTGCGAATCTATAAATTCATTTCGGCCAATTGAACCTTCTCGAACTCTTTCTTTTTAAGAACCAAAAAGATTTGTGCTAAAATAACATATGCCAAGAAGAACAAAAGTCCTTGGACATGTAATGGATCTTGAAGTACTATTTCTGCATCTCCCTGACCAAATTTTCAGGAATTTAACTTCAAATTGAATTCCTGAATTTTCCAAAATTTTATGGACAATCATGTTTTCCGGAGTTCAACTCCAGAACAAAGTAAGAAAATTCATGGCCAAACACCCTAAATTTAAAAACATGTGCAACAACAACATACCAAGTGAAATCTCACAAGTGAGGTGTGGGGAGGATAGAATGTACGCAAACCTTACCACTATGTAGATTTTGAAGAAGAGTATAAATAAGACAAAGGAGTTTTCATAATTTCATTTTTTTGATCATAAATAATCGCCAACAAGAATTTGGTTCTTTTTACGTACTTGATATCGATAAATCTGCGAATCTATAAATTCATTTCGGCCAATTGAACCTTCTCGAACTCTTTCTTTTTAAGAACCAAAAAGATTTGTGCTAAAATAACATATGCCAAGAAGAACAAAAGTCCTTGGACATGTAATGGATCTTGAAGTACTATTTCTGCATCTCCCTGACCAAATTTTCAGGAATTTAACTTCAAATTGAATTCCTGAATTTTCCAAAATTTTATGGACAATCATGTTTTCCGGAGTTCAACTCCAGAACAAAGTAAGAAAATTCATGGCCAAACACCCTAAATTTAAAAACATGTGCAACAACAACATACCAAGTGAAATCTCACAAGTGAGGTGTGGGGAGGATAGAATGTACGCAAACCTTACCACTACCTCATGGAGTTAGAGAGGCTGCGTCTGAAAGACCCTCGGCTCAAGTGATACAAATCCCGATATAAAGAAGAAGACAATGAAGAGGATTGAAACAAGGAACGGTGCAAAAGTAGCCAAAACAGCAATAAATTCATGTGATAATCAAAATACCATAAACAACATACTACGATAGATTATTATTAAAAACATTGATAAAAATAGAAAACAAGAACTACAATAATACAAGTTGCCATAGCAAACACCACCCACCCTAAGCAAGACAATACTACTACACTACCTACTACCCTTCTACACTAATACGTGTCTTCCACACCTTCCTATCTAGGGTCATGGTGACACAATCAAATATAGCAACCGTCAAATTTGCTAGTAATTATGCATGCCTTCCGTCAAGCTAAAGAACTTACATTAGTAAGATTCCATGGTTAGAGTGTAACTGAAATCTATTTGCAATAACTGGGTGGGTCCTTCACCCATCCAGACCTGCGCGGATCATGTTCATGGGCTAATTTTGCCTCCCCTAGATTCAAATATTTATCAAACTAAGGTGACCTTTTGTTTGTAGGAAACTTTCCACCTGATAGATAACAAGGCAAGTGGGAACCAAGCTAAGAAATCTCACCTCCAATTCCACCAACGGTCAAAATAGATTGTACAGCTACTCCACAAACTTCAGCTAAAGTCATTAGCCCAAGGATGAAGAGGCCAACGGAAGAGATTCTGTCCAAAGTCAACAACCGATCACGGTCACCTACTTCAAGATTCTTTACAGCCAAAGCTCTGCTGATCACATTTGTTTTCCATCGTTGTAGAAACCAGACAAATGAAAGAATAGCAGCACCTCTCCAAGTCTGGAGAAGATATTGTGATGCAATAGTGCTTGGTGCCACCATCACAGCACTGCACATATACATACTTCAACTATAAAGACATAAGCGATGGAACATCAAACCAAAATAATATGGGATAAACAGGTAAGAAATATATTACTAACATCTGTGAAAATGCCATGAAAGTGATTAAATATCGAACCGGATCCTCCATAGCACCCCAAATACTTTTCTCATAAGAAACCTGCCCCCATATCGAGCTTCCAGGCAACAAAGCAGCTGGTCCTTGCATAGAATACTTGTGAAATCTCCTCAAAAGTCTTGGAAGCACCACCCAAGCCATTAAGGTACCAGTTAAAGTGCCACCAACAGGAACAATTACATCTCTCAGATAAGGGTGTGCATCAAGCACTTGTTCAACATAAGGAGTCATTTCCGAAGATGCCTCTTTCACTTTTTCCCCAGTAGAAGTCACAGCATCTGTGGCAGTTTGCCAAGCTTCCTTAATATTTCCAACCCATTCACTTCCACTTACACCACCTGTATCCATATCAGACCCACTTGCACCAGTTGAAACTTCTGAACCTTTAGGACTATCTCCTTTACTACTAAAAGACGATGAATACCATCGATTATTCCAAATGGGGCTAGTTACAACAATTGATTTACTTCCCCAGAAACTTTTATTATCAGATCTCCCACTGAGATATGAGGTAACATGACTGGTCCCACTAGCAGAGCGTATACCCCTTATATTAAAACATTTTGGGTCAGCATAATTTTTTGAATAGGTGGGTTCTCTAGAATGGAGATTACCATTTATGCAAGCATATGAAGGTCTGACATCAATCTGATTTGCTAATTTATAAGAGAAATTAAGGGTTCTCTTCAAAGTTGAAAGCCTAATAGCAGCCATCAATGTGTAGAGTTTGACCAAGAAATGTATATCTCAAATCAAATTCTGTTAACTTCAAGCTACAATGCTCATCTTCAATCTGCAACAAGTATTGAGCCAAAAGTTACAAATGGGTAACAATACATAAATCTTTAAAAAATTCAAAACAAATACTAAAAAGGATCACTTCTACTTGGCTGTTAGGTGAAATAGAATGAGAAAGTTGACTAAGCAGTAGGAAAAAAAAGAAAATTAAGATTCATATATGTGTACATATATGCATTATATATATGTATACACTAGCTATGGTAAACACTAAAAAGGCTTGATGCAGAAGTATATCACATTTCAAATTAGATCAGGCACATCTACGAACACACCATATCAACATGATACCTATTACCTACTAAGTTTAGCGCTGACCAGCTGGGGAAATCACTATGCCCTCAATTCTTTTGGTACCAATCAATTCAGGAGAACAACATCAAGATAAAGCCAACCTATACTATCAACAAAGTAAGGTTTTATATAGAGTTAAGGCAAGCTTGCCCCATCTGCAAGGTGCATTTCATTTCATTCACCTCATCATTTTTAAGTAATAGATCAATTCTGGTTACGTTTTAACATGGTCAAAATTTACATGCTATTGGTGTATATACCACAAATTGTAATAAATTACAGCTGAAAATAAAATGAACACAAAATGAATAAAAAATATATTCAAATTGTGGCACAGATATCTCGCTCTCTTTAAGGATATTAGCCCATTGCGATATAATCCACACCAATTCAGTAGTATAACTCTTGACTTGTTCCCTCCAATGTACAACAGCCCAACAACGTCGTATAACTCAAACAACTCCGGATTAGTTGAAGAGTCCAAAGCTCAACCATTAGAACACTTTTCTTCAATAAAAAAGTACTCTCTTTTATATAGTAAATTAGTTGAAGACTTAGAACAGTTTCTTTGTCTCAACTCTCTCTTTCACTACACTAACCTCACTACACACTACAATATTTTCTCATACTTCTCATCTTTTTCATTATATATATCCTTGTACTCAAAACAAAGTAAGATCACCACAGTTTATAGGTGAGGAATTCTTCCTTGCAATGAATAGGAAGAACGTGGATAATAATATGGGTAAATGAATAGAGGAATTATGTCTGGGAGGTTACATGAGTTACAAAGCATAATGAGGTAGAATAATGGGCAAATAATGTATTAGAGGTTAAAGGAGTTTCATAAGAACTTATTGTCACATTCTACCACTAACTCAACAACAACAACAACAACAACATACCCAGTGAAATCCCACTAGGTGGGGTCTGGGGAGGGTAAAGTGTACGCAGACCTTACCACTACCTCGTGGAGGTAGAGAGGCTGTTTCCGGAAGACCCTCAGCTCAAGTGTAACAAAGCCAAGTAAAGGAAGAGAATTATATAAAGCATAACATCCAATAAGAAAAATAGTGCATAATCAACAAAGGGGGCAATACATCAAGAAAATAATGCGAGAAGTGAAACGCAGTAAACAACATAAGGCAATAGGGATCACATACAAGAACTACAAGTGTACGGCTAAGACTCCTACAAACGCTAACAACCCATACCCTCGCCAGGAAAGACAGCACGCTAACCCTACTAGCCTTCAACCTTAATACGTGACCTCCACTCCTTCCTATCTAGAGTCATGTCCTCGGTAATGTGTAGCTGGGCCAAGTCCTGTCTAATCACCTCTCCCCAATACTTCTTGGGCCTACCTCTACCCCTCCGCGTACCCTCTACTACCAGCCCCTCGCACCTCCTCACTGGGGCGTCCGCGCCCCGTCTCTTCACATGTCCAAACCATCTCAGTCTCGCTTCCCTCAGCTTGTCCACCACAGAGGCCACTCCCACCTTCTCCCGGATAACCTCATTCCTAATCTTATCGCTCCTAGTGTGCCCACACATCCATCTCAACATCCTCATCTCCGCAACATGCATTTTCTGAACATGTGAGTTCTTGACTGGCCAACACTCCGCTCCATACAACAAGGCCGGTCTAACTACCACTCTGTAGAACTTACCTTTAAGTTTAGGCGGGATTTTCTTATCACACAAGACTCCAGAGGCAAGCCTCCATTTCATCCAAGCAGCCCCAATGCGATGTGTGACATCATCGTCGATGTCACCACTTTCTTGGATTACAGACCCAAGATACTTAAAACTTTCTTTCTTAGGAATGATCTGTGTGGCAAGTCTCACATCCACATCTGCCTCATCCAATGCATCACTGAATTTGCACCCCAAATATTCTGTTTTGGTCCTACTCAACCTGAACCCTTTGGACTCCAGCGTTTGTCTCCACACCTCCAACCTCGCATTAACTCTGTCCCGCGTCTCATCAATCAGTACTATGTCATCCGCAAATAACATACACCATGGGACATTCTCCTGAATGGACCGCGTCAACTCATCCATCACCAAAGCAAATAGAAAAGGGCTAAGGACTGATCCCTGGTGCAACCCCATCTCAACTGGGAAATGTTCCGAGTCTCCTCCAACCGTTCTAACCCGAGTCTTGGCTCCACCGTACATGTCCTTTATCGCCCTAATATAAATCATCGGGACACCTTTAGCCTCCAAGCACCTCCAGAGGACATTCCTTGGCACCTTGTCATATGCCTTTTCAAGGTCAATAAACACCATATGAAGGTCTCTCTTCCTTTCTCTATATTTTTCTACCAGTCTTCGCATCAGATGGATGGCTTCGGTAGTCGATCGTCCCGGCATGAATCCAAACTGATTCTCAGAGATGGACACCCCTCTTCTCACCCTCATCTCCACCACTCTCTCCCAAATCTTCATAGTATGGCTTAGCAATTTGATGCCCCTATAGTTGTTACAGTTTTGGATATCACCCTTGTTTTTATACAACGGAACCATTGTACTCCATCTCCATTCATCAGGCATCTTTGCTGTCTTAAGAATAACATTAAACAACCCGGTTAACCACTCTATGCTTGCCTTGTCCGTGCTCTTCCAAAACTCCACCGGGATCTCATCGGGACCGGTCGCTTTTCCCCTGCTCATCCTACTAATAGCCCGTATAACCTCCTCGATCCTAAAGCACCTACAGTACCCAAAATCTCGAAGTCTTTCAGAGTGCGCCAAATCACCCAACACAATGTCTCCTTCCCCGTCTTCATTTAAAAGTTTGTGAAAGTATCTTCGCCATCTTTGCTTGATGGAGGTCTCTTCCACCAATACCTTGCCTTCCTCATCTTTGATACACTTCACTTGATCCAAGTCGCGAGCCTTCCTCTCTCTTGCTTTTGCGAGCCTATACAATTTCTTATCTCCACCTTTGTCCCCCAGCTCAACATACAAGCGTTCGAAAGCTGCCGTCTTAGCCTTCGAAACTGCTAACTTAGCTTCTGTCTTTGTCGTCTTATAAACTTTCTTAAGCATCCGCTTCTCTTCCTCATCTACGCACTCCACCAACTTTGTGTATGCAGCCTTCTTCGCTTCCACTTTGCCTTGGACTTCCCCATTCCACCACCAATCTCCTTTATGGCCCCCAAATTTACCCCTTGATACCCCTAACACCTTAGAAGCAACTTCCCTAATGCAACTAGCTGCTTTCTTCCACATGGTGTCCGCATCCCCGCTACCACTCCAAGCCCCCATCCCAATCAACTTCTCACCTATCTCCCGAGAAAGGGCAGGTGTCAAGCCACCCCATTTAATCCTCGGTCGATCAGATACAATCTTCTTCCTCCTAACCCTCTTAATTTCCAGGTCCATCACTAAAAGCTTGTGCTGGGTAGTAAGATTTTCACTCGGGATGACCTTGCAGTCCTTAAAGAGACCTCTATCACCCTTCCTAAGGAGTAAGTAATCTATCTGAGTCTTAGCTACCGAGCTACGAAAGGTGACCAAGTGGTTCTCTTTCTTCGGAAAGCATGAGTTAGCAATCACCAACTCAAAAGCTTTAGCAAAATCTAGAAGCGAAGTTCCACCTCCATTTCTCTCCCCAAAACCAAAGCCTCCATGAACATCATCAAAGCCACTAGAAGTTGCCCCAATATGGCCATTAAAATCTCCACCAATGACAATTTTCTCAGTGTTCGGTATACCTCTAACTACCTCATCCAAATCCTCATAAAAGAGCTTTTTGGCCTCCTCGTCCAAGCCCACTTGAGGTGCATAAGCACTAATAACACTCAAAGTACATCCTCCAATGACTAGCTTAATCGTCATCAACCTATCATTGATCCTCCTAACCTCCACCACTTGCTCCCTCAAATTCCCATCTACTAAAATACCCACTCCATTTCTATCCCTTGAGCCTCCTGAGTACCACAACTTAAACCCGTCGACCTCCCGAGCCTTGGAGCCTACCCATCTAGTCTCTTGGACACAAGCTATATTTATCTTTCTCTTCTTGAGAATTTTCACTAGCTCTATGGACTTCCCCGTCAACGAACCTATGTTCCATGATCCTACCCTCAAATTATGTGAATCCGTAACCCACTTACCCCTATTTTCCCCCGCCCTTGGCCTCAACCGAAGACATGACTCAATACCACCATCGGATACCAAATCCACTAGAAAATACTGAAACTAATGAAAAATCTACACAGAAATACACTTAAAAAAAAGCTGCAACAGGTGTATAATCTAAAAGACAGGATAGCAACAACTATACTATAGGATCACGTATAGTGTATACTCTAGAGGCCACGATAGCAATAACTATACTATAGTCTGAAGCACAAATCCGAGCTATAATAGATAACAAGGAAGTACTGATCCGGAATATAAAAACTGCACGAAAGGGCTCAAAAAACAGATTCAGCAAAAAAGAGAAAAGATAGATAAAACCTGAATCGGTGAATATGGAGGGCTTCGGTGGTCTTTGGGCAATTTTCCGACAAGGTCTGGCAGTTTTCCGACCAGATCTGGTTGGTCTCCGGCGACAACAGTAGCACTGCCGTCTCTCTTCTGGGTTGGTCGTCGGAGAAGATAGAGGAGTTCGCCGGAGAATCTGAAACGCTCTTGCCTTCGCCGGAGTTTGCTGCTCGCAGTTCGCTGGTCAGGGCAGTTGGAGCTGCTCTTTGATGTTGTCGTCCTCACTGAAGCGTAGGAGAAGAGAGAAAGAGGGTCGCCGGTCGGGGCTGGTCCTCGCACTGCTTCTGGCCGGCGCCTTCGCTTGCTGGCGGGAATAGCAGATCAGAGGCGACGTCCGGTTGCCGACTGGTTTTCGCTGCTGTTCGCTGGCCGGCGCCGTTCGCAGCTTCGCCTGAGCTGCTAGTAGACTAGAGGAGAGAGAGAAAGAGAGAGAGCAGATCTTGACTTACCGGGAACTGAGAGGAGATCGGAAAGCGGTCGCCGGAGATTACTGGGCAATGTTGATGATGAAATTTCGGAACCTGGGGTGGTATCCAGCCTCTTTCTTGATTCGATTACCGATAGGTTTACAGAAAGATTTGAGGGCAAGTGTGCCAAGCTTAAACACAGGTAATATCATCAGATCTCACTTCCCAAAACAAACAGAGAAATTTTCAGAGAGTTAAAAAAAGTATTGAAGAAAACACAAAAGGGCTTTGATCACTCTGAAGCTCTCAATCATGGAGAGTCTGTCTATTCTACCACTAACTCATATAAATTAATATTATTATTACAATACTAAAATGTATTTTGCTCCAACACATTCCAATAGGAATGAGAAAGCAACATCACGTTATATTATGTAAGTACTTTTATCATTAGAAAAAGCAAAGAAATATCAACCTATAACATGAGCCCTAACATCATGGCAGTAGTAATTTACCTAAAGTTGGGGAACCTAAAGCAAAATAATTAGCAGGCATTTAGAGTTTATCAATACATGTGAAGTGAGGTAGAGAATTTGATCCCATCTTTTTTTCACTTAACCTTATGTATTTAGGTTGCTTGTTCAAGTTTATAGTATCTGCAATTTGCATTGTGTCCTCTAGAACCATGTAAAAATCTGTCATTTTAGATGGCATAATTGACTGTGCAAAGGTCAGTTGATAGGCATATTATCAAACAACCTCAAGGCATGAATGAGCAAAGCTGATTACTAACATCTATGTGAATCCAGCAATAAACTATTCAAAAGAACCTAAAAACTACCACATACCCATAAAATCTGATTAACAATAACTAGTCCAATAAAAAAAAAGAGCAAAATTCAGAAAAACTCACCAGAAATTATGAAAATAAAGAACGCATCAGAGACACTTGGAACTCAAATTGAAAATTTCGAACAAAATTTTAAAAACGAAAAACATCAACTACAGATGCATGAGTATGCCAAATTTACTAATACACCAAACAAGATGAGAAAAAAACTTCAAAGTGAACTCACCAGAAAGAGCAATCAATGCAAGCAGCAATTGTGAAGCAGGCAAATTAAAGCAGAATCAGAACAAGCGAACTGCAGGAAAGAAACAGTAGAAGCAGAGAAGTGTGACAGAGAGTAAGCAATTTGGTTCGTTTATAGAGCGCAAAGTCAACAGTAGCGTCTGGAGAAAAAATGTGTAAAGGATAGAGGGGAAGGCTCAATTTAACAATTCACCATTAAAGGGGTAAAGCATAGTAAAAGAAAAATACAGTGTGACTTGCTCGGCAAGATTTGGGTTTGTTCAGGCAGGCACCGAATCAAAAGGAAAATGGAAAAACAAAGAACGAGGGAAGCATGAGCTTCTTTTTTTTTTTTTTTTTTTTTTTTTTTTTTTTTCTTTCGATAGAAAAACTAAAAATTCATTGTAATCAAAAACTTGTCTTTTAATTTAGGGAAAAAGGACAAATATATTGCCGTCTTTTTTTTGGGTCATATATATCCTTACAACTAACGGAGAAACGCGTGGCAACATCTCAACAATTGACCCAATTTTATTTTATTTTCTTTTATGAAAATTTAAAAACCCACTCACCCAACTATCTATTAATTTATTTTACACGACCCGTATTAAAATAAAAACCGACCCAATCTAAAACATCTTTACAGTGCAAATCATTTTATCCCATCATCATCTATTCCTCTTTTCCTATTCTCAATAGTCAGTACATGTGTTTCCATGGTGGAAAATTCATTCGGTTGTAGAAACTCATTTCAAAATTCAATAACTTTTGGCAAAGATCAAACTATTGATTACAAATAGTTTTATCTTCACATCTCTTTTATAGTGATCGAACTATTGATAACAAATTGAATTTTCTGCTTTTCTCATACCCACTGAGTAACACTACGTCCTGTAGTGGTTATCGAAATTGGCTCGCATTATGCTGACGCCAAGACTCTACCGGAGTTTCCGCATTACATTGGATTATGGAGACAATACACTATGGAGTATTGGATGTTGACTTCGTTATTGTACCAAGCAAATGAGGCAAAGCAACAGAGGTTGTTAGGGTTTTAATTCATTTTAAGATGATGTGATCTTTGCACCTGTATTGGGTTAGATTTCTTCACGTTGTTAGGGTTTTTTTCGCGAAAATTTATCGATTAGAAAATGAGAAATCGATCGAGAAGGGATAAAATTGGATGTAGTGTATGACTGGGTGGCGGCAGCGATGGTTTCAAGAAAGTTACCGGAGCTGGTGAATGGGGACGATGTAGAAAGGGATAAAATTGGATATCCGAGTGGGTTTTTAATTTTGTAGGTGAAAAATAAAATAAAATAGAGTCAATTTTTCAGATGTTGCCACATGTCTCTCCGTTTGTTGTAAGGATATATATGACCCAAAAATAAGACGGTAAGGGTATATATAGTCTCAAAGTATAACGAAGGGTATATACATACCATTTTTAAAAGTTCGGGGATATATTTGTTCTTTTTCCCTTTAATTTAAAGTGGTGGGGTAAACATCTTTTGGATTAAATTTTTAAAATAAAATTATTAAATATTAATAAATAAATAAATGCCTTTATAAATAATGTTAAGTTTTAGATACTATTTAAGATATATATTATTTCTCAAAAATATATTACTCCGTTAATAAAAACACACACACACATATATATATATATAACATATATTTTTTGAGCTAATAATATTTTAATTTAATTAATTATTAAAACAAAAGGTAACACCTTTGGTAAAAATATTGTGGACTACATGTTCAAAAAATATATATCAATTCTAAAACTAAAAATTCGAATGGCATGCAATATGAAATAACAAGTTAATAGTACTAAAGCAAATAATTAGGACAAAATTATAACATAAATTCATAATTAAAAAAAAACATAATATTCTTATATTCTTATATCAAATTTCAACATAACATAAATAAGTTTCAACATAACTTAAGTAAATATAATTGAAACAAAAAATATATATGTCTATAAGTTCACTCAATAACAAAAGTTTACTTTAATTGAAAAATTAGAATAAAATAATGCAATTATACTAAATGAAGCTATCGATATCTAGAGCTTCGTCATCTCAAGTACTCTCAAGATGTACTCAATTTTATTGTCAATCAATGTCATTAAGAAGTTGATTCTTTGTTGTTGAGTTAATGTTGATCATTTTTTTCATGATAAGTTTATTTATTGACAATAATGAAGAACTAGTCACACTGGGCTTTTATAGAATGATAAATTTTTCTCTTGTATGCTCTCTTGTGTCACCAGTTTAGTCCTACATATAGATGTTAGTTCAGAGATTTGCTTTTTTTTTTAACCCTCTCTTTTATCATAACAAAGAAGTATCTAAAATTAGAGTCTCCCAGCCAGATATATTTGGCCCTAGACTTTTGTCTAAGAATGTTTTCTTCAACTGGAAATTATTTTTTCAAATCCTATAACACAGTCTTCTCTTATTCTCGGAGGCTACTTGTGTATTGTTATTGTTGTTGGCTTTGTATATTTATCTACTTTATATCAAACATTCCTGAAAGCTTCATTATTGAGGCTCTTGAGCTGGATCTTCATAAGTTTTAACTTAGACTATACACTTTTAATTTGGATGCACTACTCTCAGTTGTCCATACATCCTCTACTAATTCTAGAAATTGTACATGTTCAGCCCATATGTTGAAAACCCCTAAATGGGACTCTCATATTCTTGTGAGTCATCTTCATATTCAACAGCATAGGAGCATGATCTAAAATACTTGACAGTTCATACTCCACCATTACATGGCCTGAATTCATCATCCATTCATAATTTTCAAATATTCTATCTAGTCGAATGCATACTTTATTTGCACCATGTTGTTTATTTGTCCATGTGTAATAGTTTTCTTATCAAGTGAGTACATTAAGTAAGAGGTCATTCTTGAGAAATCCTTAATTTCTACATACTAAACTAGTGCTCTAAACAACTTGTCTTGTGTGTAGAAAGGCATTGAAATCCCCACTTATTATCCACAGAATAATAGTAGCTCTAGCCCAGTGCTTTAGTGCATTCCAAAGAGGTTTCTTTTGCTCTCTTTTCTTGTAGCCGAATGTGACAGTAGTATGCACTCAAATTCAGTAAGAAGGTCATTTACATGGCAATGCAATAATTGTTTTTCTTCTGTGATCTTTTATACCTCATAGATATTGTTATTCCGGAGAATTTATATTTTGTCATTGCTTGCTAAGTGATAATTATTCATATGTCTCCAACCAGGAACATTTTCATTTAGAAACTTGTTTGCTCTATGTTGTTTGACTCTAGTTTCAATCAGACCAATTAGCTTTATTCTTCTAATTTAAAGCATTTTTTAAATCTTTTTTGCTTAATATTCTTCTTTGCTCCTCTAATGGTTCATACTAGTCAATTCATTGATTTGATTTGCCCCTATCATAGAGCTTACTTGCTTTAGTTTCCTCTTTTTTACTCGCCTTAGTACGAATATTTTTCCTACTTTTAGTCATGATAGGGCTCAAGCCAAAGTTGACACATTAAACTCAACATTAGGACTTATGCCATCTCTTTTATTAGGTGATTCTGTTTTTCCGCGTTTACTGCAGGGACTACTAGGCCAATCCCGATTGCCTCTCGACTAATTCTTCCTTGATCCTCCACTGAAAGGGATATATCATCAATTACTTGGGCTATCTGAGTGCATGCATCTTGAGGTGTAGCCAAGGGTGCTGGCGGTTGTGCTTCAACTTGATCGACTCCATTTGATTGCTACTTCTGGGATTGTTTTACTCGAAAATATAAATAAAAGGAGAATGACTAGTTTTCGAAAAATCGATTAAACTTATGGTTTAAGAGAAATCAATTTTCCAAAAGAACAGAGTCGCCACTTTATTTTTAGTAAAAATAAAGAAAAACTTGAGGTTTTCAAAAGACTTAAACAAATAAAATCAATTGAAAAGAGGTTCAAGTTCAATGTACATTTCGAGAAGGTGTTTGGCCCTCGAAATGTCCGCTAACTTGCGGTTGACCGGCGATTTGACTAAAATGACTTTGACTAATTTTGAGAAAATATTGACTAAGAAAAAGACTCATTTTTTATCATTATCATTTATTTTTATTTTATATATTATTATTTTTTATTATTATTATTATTATCATTTTAATTATCTTAAGGGAAATAGGACTAAAGGGGGGTTTTCTAAAGGAAAATAAATTAAGTGTTGACAAGACAAATAAAAACAATAAAGCTAAGTATAAAATATAAATACTTAAATTTAAATATATATAAAAATAGTGAAATGACTATCTTTGGGAATTTAATTAAATTAAACCATAAACCAAATAAAAGTG